TGAATCAAAGCCAAACAAACATGTGATTCTTGCTTTGAATACTAGTTGATTGACTGATGGTATAAACCATTTAATGGGACTCAGATTCAAAAGACTTCTGAAAGACTGTCCCATTTTAGCATTCTGAGATGTCAGTAACAGAAAAAGTTCAAGAAGAGAGATTTAAACAAATGTTTGGGAAATAACATTGTCAATATTTACAAACTGTACTGCTAAAAAGCCTTTTTTTTTGTAATGAGTTATTTAACAAATTCCTTAATCAGCTACATATTCTAAAATACTCTGAGGCATATTTGTGAATAACAGAGCCTCGATTTCACCAAAATAAAAATTTTATATCATGTTAAATGATCTTATAATTTCTCTTTCTCTTAAGCATTTGGATGCACATAGATAATATTTAAATCTACAAATGTACAGAAGACATATATATAGTTATATATACAAATATAAACATAACTATGAGACACGCATAACACAAGGTAATAAATAAGATAGATAGATAGATATGTATAAAAATATCTCACTTTCATTTTGACTGATCTGGATTTTGCAATAGTTTTGTCACATCCTACACTTTTTTCTGCTGTACTTCTTTTGATTTTTTAACAGTCTATTTAAGCTAAATAAAGATGACCCTAAGTGCAAACAAAAAACATTGACAGTAATTAGCATTTGTGAGACACCTGACATGTTTAAAGTATTGTGCCAGTATTTAATTACAAGTCCTCAAAACAATCCTCCAAACCAGTAAGCATTTCCACCAGCAATGCTGCAGCACAAGGAAAAAAGTTACCACGGGAGAAACCAAATCGTCACCAAAGCCCTACACACTGTCCTGGAAGCAGCACTAACTTTTAACAGTGGTATTTCTGTTCAGATAAAGCAGGAGAACACAACTGTGATTTCTAGCATTGTAATAATCTAGCAAGGTGTCACAATGTTTAAATGTACAATATTTAAAGTCTTAGAGTTATTACCAAATCTGTGGTAACACTGAAATTTTCTCTGTATACGAATATAGTCCAAGTAAGGTCACATCTCTGCGAAATCAGACATTTCACTTAGCTTTAATCATCTGTTACTGTGTCTAATCTAACTTAGTCACGCAACTCATCTTTAAATTCAACAGAGAGATGAGCAGCTCTGGAGAGTGATACATCTCACTAATCTTAAACACTCATTTTAGGATGAGAAATGGAATGGGATTCTGGGGATGGATAATTGAAAATAAACTTTAGCTGTCAGCGAGAATCACTGCACAGAGTTCCTGCAGAGCCAGGGCTGAGGGACAGATTTCTGTCAGACTCCATGGAAATTACAGGAATCGCCTAATGTACACTCCAAAATATAGAAGTTTTTCATGCATATAACTCAGAGACACAATTGATAAGACAAAAATGAAGATGTACTTACCAAAAACAATAGAGGACTCACAGTAGTAGTAACCATTTGGTTGCTTTTTTTTCAACATGGAGCAAAGATCAAAGCGGTGCAAGATTTCATCTCCAAAATAATGGTTTTTGAAATCCTCATACAGGTTGGAGTCAATTTTTTTCACCTTTAAAAAGCAACATAAAATTCAATTAGGCATTCTACTAAAAGGCTGAAATTTCGTGGTTGATTCTTATAGTTTTCATTTTAATCAGAATTATAGTTAGGATGGAAAAGTACTTCAAGATGCAAAAAGAATACAAAAACAACAATGTGCCAAATCTGTTTCAGGTAAGCACTGTCTGTTGCAGAATTTAAACAATGAAATAAAAGTGTCATTATTCCTCCTTTCTATCACTTCTTCAGTCCTGTAGGAAACAAATAGACATACACAATGCTACAACTGCTTTAATTTCCAATAGTTTGCAACAGTGTTCACGGAACATGTCACTGGGAATTATTTTTGCTGTCATCACTGGGCATGCTACTACAAAGAAGCATCTCAAATGTATGTCAAGGGCAGTTTTCTTAGTCTTTAAAATCACCACACAGGAAAATGTGGTTGCATTTTACCAGCACTAGACTTTTTTTAACTCAATAAATCTAAAAACTTACCATAATTTATAATATTGGAATTATGCAGTTTTGCATATATGAAGTATAACATATTAAATTTTCTATTAGGCTGTTTTCAGAAAACATAATTTCAGTAGTTATTTTAAGAGTTTAGGAGTGCGAATTCCTTTGCATCTTCAATTAAAATATATGATCTCTGTAGAAATTTGCTATTTTCTCCTTCAATCTACCTCACAATAATGCTGTTTGCTATTTAGGTATCATTACTATATGCTACGGGATGTTAGTAGGGATGGTACCTCCAGTATCTTCTGCCCAGGGCTCCCTACTGCCTGGCTGCTGGAGCCCAGTCCAGTGCCCCGGAGCCCCAGAGTCTTGATGGATGTACCTGCTGCTTTCACCTCTCAGAGATACACATACATGCTCAAAGGACATAGACATGGCTGGCTACATGGAGTGCCACTGCCCTCAACAGCACCCACATACAGGGCGCACAGGAGACACAGGTGCAGGTAGCCCCTGGCAGAGACAGAAGGTCAGCAGTGTAGGCACACACATGGCCCTCTCCATGCTCACATGCACATTTGTGCATCCCCGAAGCACGACCATGGTTCCTCTGTCCACCTGGCACCCCTGCCCAAGTTGCAGGCCTCTTACTGACCCCACAGGTCCCCCACTTGCTGTCTGGTCCAGCTTGAGGACAGCTCCTCACACACAGTTTGGGGAGGATACAGATATTTGCCTCCAGCAGTCAGCTGCTCAGCTCATCAGACAAACATGCCCACCAGCCTTATTTTAAACAGACTGGCCCCTTTTGCAGCCAATTCTGTCCACTCCTCTTTTGTTCTTCCCCTGCACCTCCCACATCCCCCATCCATTTGCACAGTACAACCAAGCCCCCCTCCCAACATCTCAGACCCTCAGCTTTACATTCCCAACAGCTGCAAAGTCCCAGTTTGCCTGTAGTTTCTTGACAGGTCCTTAGTATGGCTGACAAGGTTTGCTTCTTGGATTTGTGTGTTAAGTTTAACAGGTTTGTGTCTCTGTATATTTTGCTTCTGTTTGCCTCCTTTCTCTTACCATCTCATTTGACAAGGTCCTCAGTCTTACTGCAATGAACATCCCCACACTCCACATGTCTGTGGGGCTGACCACCTTTGGCTCTTGTTACTACTTCCCTTATCATTCGTTGGTCAGGTTTGGGTCTCTGTATGTGTTTCTTAGGGCCTCCTCCTTTTCTTATTATCCCCTTCTGCACTGAAAAGGTCCCTCCTTACCAGACACCCTGAAAGGAGCATACACTGTCTCCTTCCTCACTATAACATTAAACTGTATGCATTTATCTGAGCATTACATTCATGCATTTCTTGTGGTGCTTCATTTAAAGTTACACATATGCAAGATACGCTTAGAGTTGGTATGTCTACTGACCTTTTACTTAGGTACAAAATTACTGGCTTCAGAAGGACTTTGCTTCCGTAAGTACCCGCACATCTGGTTCTCTGAAGTCTAATTTAGAGACTTTTGGTCCCCATAATTTTACTTTAGTGAAGGTCAGAAATGACTATTTCCTTAATCTCTGAAATTATGACATCTAGTGGTGGATGTTTTTCATTTCGGGAACATGATCTCCTTGGAAGACTACATTCATTCCACCCTCACTATCACTATTTGAAATTTGATTTCTATGGCTAGATTAGTCCTTATGTACTAAACTTATTTTGAAATTAAATCATCATTCCTTGCTTTTGGCTGACAGTTCTTTGAAATCCAGTCAGACATCAATTAGTAATAAAAAAAGACCTTTTCAGCCAGGAGAACACTTGTCAAAATATGAAGCCTTGAGTACTTCTGGAATGAAATGAGGAAAAGATAAAAATCACAACTTCATGCTCCAATAGAAAAATAACATTTACAAGAGGCAGGGATGTTGCTTGTCAAAGGCAGATTGGTAAGGTATGAATCAAATGTTGAATGCTCAGGAACTGAGTTGTGCTTGTGATGCACTACTGAAATGTATTTGGAAAAGCAGCCATGGCAAAACTATGATATTTTTAGTAACTGGAGCAATTGCTAGAGTGCTGCCTGTGTGTTGTGAAAGGATGAAACAAAGAAGGTGCATGGGAAGGGCATGGTTCATTTCTTAACTTAAAGGGTCTGGAGCAGTAGAGATGAAAGAGAAAAGTTGTTACCACATGGGAATAGTATAGATGCTGATTATAGAGATAAACCATAATGAGGGGGGTGAGAAATGAGTGCTTGAGAGGCCATTTTGAAACGTTTGGTGCTGGGAGGGCAGGAGAAAGACATCTGCCTCTTGAAGGAAGAACTGTAATGGATGGATGATGCCTGTAAAGGGACATGGCTGTGAAACGTGGGCCTAGAGAGGCATGGCATTAGGACGTCCTGCAGGTCTGGCAGCGCACCAGCGACAGCCTTTGGTAGCCCTGCCATGTCTGTTAACTCTGCCTGTGCCTCCCCTATGTGCACACCACGAAGGTGCAGCCTGCTGTCCCCAGCCTGCAGTGAAACCCCAGTCCCCGGGGCTGCTCTCAACAGGCAGTCTGAGCCAGGGGCTGGAACCAGGTGTGGGACCAGGGGCAGGAGGGCTCAAGTGGTGATGGACCTTAACACAGACGCAAGCAGCCTCGAGTCCCATGTACCAGACCGCACACCCAGCACGCTGCTGGGGTGCTTCCATCCAGCCGGGAGGCCGCCAGCAACTGAGGGTCTGTTCCCGCGCCCGGAGGGCTCTGCCGGGACAGGCCCGTCACGTGGCGGCGGGGCGGCGGCGGGATAGCGGGATAGCGGGGCGGCGGAGGATACAATGATAGGGCGGCGGAGGGGATAGCGGGGCGGTGTGGCGGTGGCCGGATGCGGGGCCCGGGCCGGCCATCCTGAGGGGCCATCCTGAGGGCCCGGCGGGGGGAGCCTGAGCGCGGGGAGAGACAGAGGAAGGGGGTAAGGAGAGCACTTCTGAGCTACAAGGAGAGGCAGCAGCCCAGACGAGCTGCCCGCCTGTGGTGAGGAGGGTGAGTAGAGGGGGAAGAGGGGAGAGAGGGTTGGAAGTGGGGTGGTGACAGGGGATTAATATGGCTGATCCCTTATGTACTTGTATAGAAACGTGCTGTGTGATAGTGCTACATAAATACCGGGCTGGGACCCTGAAATGATGGCCAGGTTATGGGCTGCACTGCTGTGAGGAGCTGAGGTCAGCACATGCATGTCTCGCGTACCTCTGAGGGAGAATGATTCTGTACATGGATATATACATGCCCATGTACATGACTGTATGTATGGGTATTTGGGCATACATACATACTTTAAAAAAATAAAGAATACAAAGAAAAACTGTAAATCCAGCATTGCTGGTAGTTTGCTCTGTTACACCTTGCTTGGAAGCAGATGGCAGCTGTATCTTTTCAGATGCTGGCTGCATCTTTCCACTTGAACATTTATTGTTAATGACTGGTAGATTCTTAGTTTCTCCAGAGCTGGAAGAGTGAGTGTTAACCTCCTCTTGTCAATTACAATTGCTTCTCAGGACCTTTGGGATGAGTTGTAAATAAAAATATCTCTCTCCAACAGAATGAGTGCCACATCAGCCACAAGCCATGCCTTGCTTGGGCCCGAACAAGAGGACCAAGAGGGCTCTGAGACACACATGTCTGTTTTGTGGTATGCAGGGCAGCTGGCAATTACTTATTATGATACAGAAGATTGCTCAGTCTACTTCATGCCTGAGATACCCGATAATGAAGACCTCAAGCTACTGCAAAAAGTGACTGGGGAACTTAATCCTCAATGCATAGTGACCAGTGCAAAACAGGACCAGAATATTGCCAAATTCCTGACCAACCTAACAGCTACTGCTGGTGATAAAGACATTGGAAAACCAGAAATTGTCCTGTTTCCTAATGTAGATTTTGGTCTAGAAGTCAGCAAGCAAAGGATCCTATCTAGGCAATTTCCATTTATCCCATCTCATATGACTGAAACAGAGAAAATTCTCTACTTGTCTTCAATCATCCCTTTTGAAAGCCCACTCATGATACGAGCCTTAGGGGGCCTCCTGAAGTTTCTAGACAGGAGAAGGGTTGGAGTTGAGCTTGAAGACAGCAGTGTAGCAGTTCCTATTTTGGCCTTTAAAAAATTTGTGCTGTCAGATACTGTGAATATGGACCAAGACACTTACTGTGTCCTGCAGATATTTAAAAGTGATATCCATCCTTCTGTGTACAAGCTGTCCAGTGGACTAAAAGAAGGATTCAGCTTATATGGAATTTTAAACCGCTGCAGATGCAAATGGGGAGAAAAACTTCTGAGGCTGTGGCTCACACGACCTACTCGGAACTTGACAGAGCTGAACAAACGGCTAGATGTTATCAGCTTCTTCCTGATGGCTCAGAACCATGAAACAGTCCTCACTCTTCAAAACTGCCTCAAGAATATTAAAAATGTGCCTCTTATTCTAAAAAGAATGACTCTTTCCAACACAAAAGTTAGTGACTGGCAAGCACTCTATAAAACAGCATACAATGCAGTGTGCCTCAGAGACACGTGTCGTTCTCTGCCCAACACTATTGAACTTTTTCAGACTATTTCACATGTCTTCACTGATGATCTGCACTACATTGCTAATCTAATCAGCAAAGTGGTAGACTTTGAAGGCAGCCTCTCAGAGAACCGCTTCACTGTTAGACCCAATGTGGACGCCACTATTGATGAGAAGAAACGAAAGCTGATGGGATTGTCAGACTTCCTTACAGAAGTGGCACGAAAAGAACTGGAGACTTTGGATGATCATATTCCTTCCTGTTGTGTGATCTACATTCCTTTGATTGGGTTCCTTCTCTCCATTCCACGGCTACCAGATATGGTGGAAAAGAGTGACTTCGAAATTGAAGGCCTGGACTTCATGTTCTTGTCAAACGATAAACTGCACTACAGAAGTGCTCGGACTAAGGAGCTAGACAGCCTGCTGGGTGACTTGCACTGTGAGATCAGAGACCAGGAAACACTTATCATGCACCAGCTGCAGACAAAGATCTTGGAGAAGTCTGAAGTACTTAACAGTGTGATTGAGTACACTGCACACCTAGATGTGCTCCTAGCTTTGGCAGCGATGGCCCGGGAGAACGGCTACTGCCGACCTCACTTTACTCACCGTCACGGCTTCCACATCAAGGATGGAAGACATCCCCTCATGGAACTATGTGCAAAGACTTTCGTGGCCAATCCTGTGAACAGTGGTGAGGCTACCAGACGAATAAAGATCATCACAGGGCCCAACTCATCTGGAAAGAGTGTTTACTTAAAGCAAGTAGGTCTTATAGTATTTATGGCTCTAATTGGCAGTTATGTCCCTGCAGCAGAGGCAGAGATTGGAGTAATTGATGGCATTTACACAAGAATCCACAGTAGGGAATCGGTTTCTGTAGGGCTCTCCACTTTCATGATTGATCTTAACCAGGTTGCAAAGGCCGTAAACAATGCCACAGAGAGGTCCCTGGTACTTATTGATGAGTTTGGTAAAGGGACAAACACACTGGATGGCCTGTCCCTTCTGGCTGCTGTCCTGAGGTACTGGATCAGACAAGGAACACAGTGTCCACAGGTCTTTGTCTCCACTAATTTTCACAGTTTAATGCAGCTAGAACTCCTGCCTGACACACCTCTTCTGGAGTATCTGACCATGGAGACCCACCAGGATGGAGATGAGTTGATATTTTTCTATCAGATCAAAGACGGCGTGTCCACTGTTAGTCATGCTGCCAACATTGCAGCATTAGCAGGAATGCCAGCCAAAATTATTGAAAGAGGAGTGGAAATATCAGAACTGATTCGCAATGGAAAACCTATCAAATGTCTTGATCATCCTTCAAAAGGAGATCGGGTGGAAAAATGCAAGTCTGTTGTAGAAAAGTTTCTTTCCTTAGACCTTGATGATCCCCATGTGGACTTGGAAGAGTTCCTGAGGAAGGAGGTGCTACCTTCTGCAGCCTCAGTCCTGTAACGGGTACGTGTAAATGCATAGATTGCATCTTATCCACTATGTTCAGTAGGAAAGTTTGGTAATTTAAAGAATGCTTACTGCGACATAACATCTCACAATACACTTAGCTTTTAACAAACTGTCTATAGTTAAAGCCTTCCTTCTTGTTGTTTAAAGCAAGTACTTCAATATGGTGTACCACATGAGTGTAGAAAGAGGGAAAGAAGAGAATTTAAGAACCTCTTTCAGCTCTTGGGTCACCCAGTTTGTGCATTTTTTGTCCCTGTTGTTAGAACCACAGATTAAAAAAATATACTGTAGAAAAATCACAACACATTTCTACTGGTCTTAGAAGACTGTGAAAGCAAAATGCTTATTGTTTTGTATTGTGCTAAAGCCATTTTAGGATCAGCATCAAAGATTCCAAATAAGTATGTGCCTCAGATGCTTGTATCAGCAAGTAACAGTTGTCACAATACAAACCACTGACAAAGAGGCTGATAAATGGAAATACAGAGGGATTTAATGAACTCTGTGGCTTTTCTTATTCCATCATTTCTGTCCAAAATGCCAGAGATCTCAGCAATTATTATAAAAAGAATGCTGGAGGTCAGAATCACCAGGAACTGAGAAGTGCTTTGGTTTTCCTGAGAATCACTCTCTTCTCTAAGGTCCTGTATGATACAACTATGTGTCTATGCCACATGGATATAAATAAAATCAAAATTATAAATCTAGGAATGTAAGAGAGAAAATCACATTTTCTATTATGTTTTTAAGTATTAAGTAAAACTTAACATTAGAGGTATAATATCAGAAGGGAGGATTCCCTTTCACTTCTCTTGTCATGCAGAGGATCTTTATTGAACACAGTATTGAATGTATGCATATGCAAGAAAAATACATTAACAAATTAATGACCCAAGAGCCATATCTAAGTACTGTCAAAGTAATAACCTTTCCTGCAGCGAGGTGCCTGAGATTCCTCATGTAAATAAGACAGAAGAGACATTAGATAGCTTATTGTCTGCCAAAACTTGCTCTAACTGCTTATATTATGGCTAATAAACACATCAGCAGACACACAGCTCTATGGGATTTCAAGAAGACAAAAATAATAATGTCACATAAACTATGAGAAAATTTACATGACAAAAAATTAATTCCCTTCATAATTATCAGTATTAAACGTGTTATCAGGTATGTCTACCTGAAGATAGCAAAAAGATGAATGTGAGCACACATCAAAAATTTTTGAAGTTGGAGACACTGCTTTGAGTTTGTTTCAGTGTGTAATTTCCTCCTCGGTAATGAAGGAAACTATTATTATTACTACAAAATAAGCACCTTATGTTATCTCTGTATGAAACTGGAGAGTGACAAAAAGTTTAACATAATTTACCTTAAAAAATACAATAATAAATTACTGAATCATGCATTTAATGCTGTTTCCAGTGCAATCATAATAATACTGTCTGCAAAACAATATCTAGCATCTCGATGATGTTACCACTGAAGTTGAATGGTAACAGTGAATCAGGCCTTGTAGAATGCTCACAAGTGTTTTCTCACTAATATATTCTGTTTTACTATCTGTACATACAGCATTCTAAAAATATACCGTAGAAAATAAGATAATATACTAAAGATTCATAAATTATATTTTTGGCATTTTTTGTTGTCAGCCACTGTCTAGGCTAAGTATATACTCTGTACTAATTAAGCAGATGCCATCAGACTAATTTAGCTGTCAGTCATCTTCTACTTATGAAATTCATTTAACAGTATTTGTAGTTCTGGCAGCACTAGATATCAAAGGACCTCCCAACATCATACAGCACTTATGAAGTGTGCCTCACAGCACACCCTGAAATAAACAGGAGTCTGAACAAATGAAAAACAGAGGGGTTGTGAGTGACCTGCAGCAACTTAACAGGCAAGTGAGGGAAGCAGAAATAGAAATGTTACGTTCAAGTGCAAAACTCCAGGTACTTCTTTCACTGTGTTTCATTAGGTTCTTTGCATAGAATATAATGATACTAACCCAAGATTCTTATCATTCAAATAATTCTGGAAATAGCTAAACATGTGCAAGTAAATTATATCTCTTTATCTCCTTCCACAAGGACAGCTAGAAGCACAAGGATTTTGGGAAGTTTTCAGTGGCGCACCTGATCTCAGGAATGTCCAACTAAGCATGAAGAATGGGTTGCTCCCACTTCTCAGCAGGAAGATAAGTACTTTAATCTAAGAAGCTGAGGGGGTACAGTAAACCATATAGCTCTTTTCTAATGAACTTTATTTCACGCTTTTATCCTTTATTAATACCTGTTTCCAAGTTTTTTGCATTTACCATTTTTAGCTTAATGCTGTGCCTTGAAAGTGAAAAGCTTATTTCTTGAGATCTTTCCTAGTTCTGAATTCTCAAACTCCTTGTTTTGTAAATATGTTTTCAGCTCTGGGGAAGTTAAAATCTTTTCAGAATAAATGCATTTCAAACTGCCCAAAGCTATATTACGGTTTAAAAAAAAGATATTTTTTCCCCCCAAAAGATAAATTTGGTGGAATTTAGATGTCATTGTGAGGAGAGTGACTTAAAAGAATATTGCTTCAAATAAGGAAACTTACATTTAAAAATTAATATAGTTATAAAGCTATAGCTGAGAACTGTACTGAACCACTTTACTACTGTTTGGTCTTTCATATGCTTTCACATGTAATTTTCATTCATTCCCCCTTCCTTGCTTTTCATATTCTTGTGTGATCTCAAAATGCAACTAGACACTGTATTAAAACGTACTGTGAAATAGTCATTCCTTTTATGTTTTGTATTTGTATTTACTGCTTTCAGTAAAGGCACGAAACTATCTAACTAAACGCATGTACACAATGAAACAAAAAATTATAGTAAAGATTAATGCTTATGCCTGACACTGAATTGACAGAGAAAAATTTACAGATTTTTAATACACAGTATCTTTCTATACAGTATATCTTTAGAATACCATATGCATTATCCAGCATTATAGAGGGCAAAGGAAGATGATTTGGAATGACATTGACCTGGTTCTGTCAGCAGCAGTGAATATCATAACACAGAAAGTATGCATCCTGGCTAAGATTTCATGGAAGGTAGATAAATACAAATGAAACAAAGAACCAGCCAAAAAACAACCAGAAAACAGAATGGCAAAAATCTCACCCTGATTGTTTTAGATGTTTAAACCAAACAGTTAAATTACTGAACAGCTGATATTCTAGAAGAGCTGTGGATTTTTAAAATGAGTGTTTTTAAAAAACTGTTAATACAAGCAAAAGCTAATGTGAGCTCACAAATTTAGTATCTATAATATGCCTGCATCCATATCTATAATATCCACCTGCATCCTGTGGATAAGTCCTTATTTCTGTTTTAGAGCAAGTATGTGTGCCCTTGAAATTTCTTATGTATCTGAAATCTCACTGCCTTCTGCCTACTGATTTCAGAATACTACTTAATTAAAATGTGCACCTTCAGCATTTTTAGATATTTCTAATTAAATTTTAAAGTATTTTTCTTTAATCCCCAGTATTAAGGAAAAAATCAACTTAAAATATTAATATTATGTAATTTAATTCCAATTTAAAATATTTTTTCTGAAAATTATTTTCCTAGACAATGTTAAAGGATCACATAAAACATTCTATACAAGGTCAACAAAAAAAATTTATGGAGACATACCTTATGTTAGATAATACAATACAGTATTACAGTTAAATTAGTATGCAATAAAAATAGGTCCACTAGTATTGCTTCTATATATATTTTATGACAGTTATAACCTACTTTCATGTATTTCTGTAATTTGTCCAAAAAAACCTAATAAATAGGCAAGAAATAAGTGCCTGCAAGAGAGAATATAGAAGATGGTTTCCTCGCTACTCTGAAATTCACCAAAGCATATTCAGTAGAGGGAACTGACAGTCTGCCTATTATGCATAATCCAAATAGAAATTTCACTGTTTGCTTGTTTTCTCCTATACAGAAACAAAACTTTGCAAACAAACAGCATGCGTATACAAACTACATCCTAATTAGAGTTCTGTAATTTTTAACAAGTACTTTTAGCCTTTGGTCTTGCCTAATTTCACAACAGAAAACAGACTGTGATATTAATGTACTGAGAATATCAAGAGTGGTAACTTACAGTACAGGACTAATGTTTATATAGTAGATGCACTACATTATTTTTATTAAATAAAATAAATAGTTTTAAAGTCTTACCTCTTCAGCTGGTTACAAAGTAGAGGGTATGATGCTACAGCCTAAGCAGCACCTTTGTGCATCTCCAAATTAAACTTTCTAGATTGCTGCTGATCTACATGAAATGTGAGCTCACCTGCTTACGTAGCTCCATTGATTTTGACAACTTCATGAAGGTCAGATGTGGTTTAAAAGCTCTTTCTTCTCCTGCCAAGATCCCCTTTTCTTGAAATATCTTCTTCATGGTCTCTGAGGGGGGGAGAAGAGTGTAGAGGTACAAAGATATTACCTAATAGAATGCTTAAAAATGTGCTTTCAACTGTAATTTGAGTCACAGTTGCTTCACATGGAAGAAACAAGATGATGAGTACTAAAGGCAGGAAGATTTCTAATTAACTTCAAAGGTATATATTATTTCATGTGAAAATGGTCTTACATTTGCAGTTAATGCAGGTCACAAATTTGGCTTTACTAAAATAAAAGCAATTAGAAAGCTGTCCAGTTTTTTGGTCCAAAAGAGCTGTCTGTTTTTGCTATCAAAATAAAAATTCAACATTAGCCTTGTTCAAGAATCGCTCTCAGTAAAGTTTTGGAAACTTTACAAAACTCTAAGTATGTGACAGAATTGTCTTTCTCCAAAAACATTATTCTGTATTTGGGTAATCTCCCACTCAGACCAAAGGAAATTTGAAAGTGAAAGCTCTAAGTGTGGCCCTGGATTTACATGCCAGAATTGGAAAACATATCAGGCATGCTGATGATTTTTTATTTGGGTTTTTAAGCTTCACTGTTGCCTTCTAAACTAATTTCCTATTTTTAATGTACACTTTGATCTGTCTACAGTCCAAGCCAAAGCAGCTCTACAACACTGGCCTACTTTACTATTTATTTCCCAATTTATCTGCCCAATATATTGTTTAATTTCTTGGAAATAAATTTCAGTATAACTCTTGAATTATGTTCCATGTTGCCTTCAGCTAAAATACTGCATGTGAAAAATTTCTGTAACAATTTTGAAAACAGGTTTAGATAAAATTGATTAAACCTGTGACAAAAATAATACCGTTAAGTAGAATATTTCTATTACTGAAATCAGAAAAACTGAAAATTTTTTTTTTTCTTTGCAAATACAACTTTCAGTTTTTCACTTGCTGTAGGTCTAGCTGACTCATACTACCAAACTGAAATTAAAATGGGAAAAATAATCCTATCACATAAATTTAATCAAAGCTTACCATAACTGTGTATTTTCATTTAAGTGTATTATTTTTGGGCTTGATAGTTCAACAGTGCTTTATTCTCCCACCTGACAGAAACAGCATTACACTGGGAAGTGAACAGCACAGCTGGCTTAAAAAAAAAATAGGGAAGGTCCAAGGAAGAAGAATATAGGCATATAAAGCTATCTAGCATAAGTCTGCCAGTTCACTCTCCTGTAACATGTTCATTCCAGAGTCCTTATTCCTACAATTTTTTGCTTATTTAAGTGAGCTGCTTTGAAATTACATTTAAGAGGTTATTTTACAAGTTTATGCATTACTTTGCAACATAAAAGTTCTAGAAGCAGCTCAGAGTATTCACTTGGGACCTGGAGATCAAAATTCACTTCTCTTTCTCTGTTGCCTATGATTTATAACCTCAGGCTCCATAGTCTATGCAAAAATTGGAATTTCTAAAGAAACCAGGGAAATCAATGAACTGGCCCACTTGAAAGCTTTCTTTCAGCCTTCACTTCCCACCTATAAGATGCTGATACATTTTACAAAAAAGAATTAGTCCAACTTCTTATTCTAACTCACAGGATGCTGAAAGGACCACCTGATTAAAACCTTTGTAACTTTTACACAATGGCAATAGGGATCCTATTACTATGGTGAATGCTGAAAATAACACAATGGTTGAGGTGGGAAGGGACTTCCTGAGGTCATCTGGACCAACCTCCCAGCTAAAGCAGAGCCACCTAGAACAGGCTGTCCAGGACTATGTCTGGATGGGTTTTTATATCTCCAAGGATGGAAACTTCACAACCTCCATGGGCAGCCTTTGCCAGTGGTTGGTCACCTTCACAGAGAAAAAATGTTTTGTAAGTCAGAGCAACCCTCCTCCGTTCCAGTTTGTGTCCATATTCTCTCTCTCTCTCTCATCCCATGTATGTATATACAAGCATAACTGCTATATAGATAAATACATCTGGGTATCTAAATCTATACAGCTACATATCTGTAGCTATAGACTAACTATATACCTATAGCTATAGCTGTGTATCTATAGACAAGTACAGCCTACCCACTCCTCTTATTTTGAATTTTGTCTGCAGGAAACATTTCTAAATTTATACTGAATCCCCACTAAGCTACTGTGCAGCTGTGCACACAAATGCTGCTGAATAATGATTAACATATCAAAGCAGAAGAATACAAATACCCATTTGCTGCTTTTTTCAAAATGAGATATGGAAGTTCAAATAAGTTGATTTAGTTATGGTGTGTGTGTATTTCCATGCATCCAGCAGCCTGCTTATTTTCTGATGTTAGAAAGTTAATAAAATGTTACAGTTATTTAAAACTGAAATTATCTGTAATAAAGCCATTTTCTGGTTCCTGTGTTTGGTTCTCTGAACTGCATCATTTGGGGACCTATTGACTTTGATGTTCCAGCAAAGGGCAAGTCTTATCAAAATCAGGTTTACACTGCCCTGTGATATTCTGACTCAGTCTTGTGGACAGTCTTTTTTTCCCTCTAAAAGCTCCAGGTTTTTTCCGCCATCACATCTTATGCCATGCAGTCTTATCTCCCACTCTGCAGTCAGGATCTGTACTGGTGAAGATTTGCACCTCTCTGGGTGTCCTAACTCCAGTAAGAGCTTAGTATCAGAACAGAGGTTTGCCAATGTGCATCTGATCACAGGACTGTAAGCCCGGGGTTCTCAACAGGGCAGATCGACCATACGGCACTGTGAGTGTGTGGGACATTGGGTGGGACAGCTGGGC